GCACCTTCACCATGGAAATCAGAAGAGGTGATGATGGTAGCTCAGACCAGAGAAGCAATAGTAGTGATAGACAAAGTGAGACATGATCAGATTGGAGGTACACGGAACAACCATGTCCTGATTGATCAGATGCAGAGTGGGAGAAAAAGGAGATCAGGATGCTTCCAACTTTTTTATTTTGGCCCGAACAATTGGAAAGAACAATTGCCATTACATGGGATTGAGAAGAGTAGGTTACAGAGAGGAGAGCCATGAGTTCCATATTGTATGATGATAGGCCTTTTCAACATTCAAGTAGAGCTACTCCCTAGGCAGCTGAATGTGTGAATCTGGACCTCAGAGGATGGGTTTCATCTCCAGCTCTGCTGCCTAACAGGGGAGCTTCTATCCACATATGGTTATTTAAGTTTAGATGTAAATTAAATGTAAAGTTTATTCAGTCATAGTAGTATGCCAGAGCTCAGTAGCCACATGTGGCTTGTGGCTACCATGTGAAGCAACATGGGATTATAGTACCCTATCATCACTGTAGAATGTTCTCTTGGAAAATGTGGGGAGTTGTGATTTGGGAGTAGTCAGCATATGAACTGTACTTAAAATCAGAAATCACTTGAAATCACCTACAGGAATGTATGTAGAAAGGGAGACAGAACATGAAGACTCCTAACTCTGGGAAACGAACTAGGGGTGGTGGAAGGGGAAGAGGGAGGGGGGTGGGGGTGAATGGGTGACGGGCACTGAGGGGGGCACTTGACGGGATGAGCACTGGGTGTTATTCTGTATGTTGGCAAATTGAACACCAATAAAAAATAAATTTATTATTTAAAAAAGAACGTATGTAGACAAACAAGAGGTAAAGAGGTTGGAGGTCACTTTGATAATAAATCATTAGAAGATGAGGATTCAAGCAAAGAAACTAGGAAGGAAGTTCTGTGAGGCAGGAAAAGAACTGAGATAATGAGCTTCTGGTAGCAAAGCAAGGAGGAAGTGATCAGTGTGTCCAGTAAGATGGGGCCCATCAACTATTGGATATGGCAGGGTGCCCTTGAAAGAACAGTTTCAGTGATGTGCGGGGGAGGGATGTTTGATTCAGAAGGATCATGGGTGAATGAGAAAAGCTATGGAGACAAAGAGTAAAGACAGCTCTTTGAGGGATTTTTGCTGTAAAGGGAATCAGTGAAATGGGACATGAGCTGGAGAGATTAAGTAGAGATCTATCCCACCCACTTATGTGGAGTATTATTAAGATGAGAGAGATGATAGCATGCTTGATGCTGATGGAAAAGATCTAATAGGGAAATTTCAGTAAAGCTCAAGATAAGGGGAGTGGGCAACTATAGTAGTGGTGTCATTATATAGATGCGGGAAGATGGAATCTGGAGGGTGGGGGAGAACCTGGACCAAACAGGAGCTAGAGTAGGGCATCCTGGGTAAAAGAAGGAGAGCTAGAGTATGAGTACAGATGCAGAAACAAGTTTGACAGAGGAGATGGTGTAAATTCTCCTTGTTGGTAGCATTGATAATTCTCTATGGGTAGCTTTCCTGGAGGCTGAGAGAAACTTAACATCTTGATTGGTTTTGTTTAATAATAATGACACTTGCTGCTTAATTTTTTTTCTTAAGCTACATCCTACTGTTCACAGCAACATTTTAAAATGTTTCACAGTGAAACCACAGGCCACGTATGGCTTAGGTTCTAGAGTCTGTCTAAAAGATGAAAGTAGAATATATTTTCAATGCCCACTGAAAGTGTGTTAAACCCCTCTGAAATCACCACAACGTAAGTCTTTTAAACTCAAAAGGCAAGAACTAATATTTTTAATTTTTCTCACATTTCCATTGGGCACCCTTTTGCCCTATAGTAGTCAAAGCCAGGATCTAGTTTGAATGAAAGAGAATGGGATGGTCTTAGGAAGTGGAGATAAGTGAGTAGATTTATTTCTCTGTCATGCTTAACACTTGAACATGTCTCCCTTACGCCTGTGTGTGATACAACTCCCTGTGTTGTAAAAATCATCCTGCCCCATGGGCTTTAGTGCTCACTATATTTCCTATGTACTTCACCTACGTTTTACTGCTACACATGGGCAGGTGCACTGTATTACTCTCTCCTAGGAGATCTCTGTACAAAGAGATTTTGTATAAAGAGGTATGGCACAGAGAAAACAAACCCAAAGTGTTACTTACAAGATACTACTTTAATTGAAGGAGAAATTGAGTTGAAATGTCAAGGAGCATCAAGATTATTTTCGGAATGTAAAACCTCTCTCAGAATTCTAGTTTGCAAATAAAACTCTAAGTTGTTTACTTAATATCAAGAACAGTTGTATGACAGAGCTATAAAAAGAAGAAAAGGACTAGAAAGATCCTCAAAAGTAAGACTTCTAGGACCTTGATTTTGACGTTTTCATTGGTGACTAATGAGAATTTGGCATTTGTCTGTTTTAACGGTATTATTACCTGCTGAGTGTTGGTTTGGGTTTGGATGGGGGCGACGGGAACAAAGACCCATCTGTCAGCATGTTGGTTGTTTCTGGAAGGCACCAAGATTCATTTTGTTGTACAACAAATGATGTTCACACCATGGAATCTTCAGAGTAAGCCATAATATTCCTGGAGACATTGAAACTAATAGCAAAGTGGAAACCACTTTGTAGCATCCTGAGCAGTGGTCTGGTATAATGAAGGTCCTTGAGCAGCTGCCACCCACCCAGCTTTAACTGAAGTGGGATCCCACCAGACAGAGATAGAGCCAGGGCTTCCTATTTTTAGCTGGAAATCTGCTTTGCTCTTTGGGCATGAATGCCCAGTCCTAGTGGTAAACTATTTTCCACAAGACTCCTGGGGTGGGAGAGAAACAGCTATTTATACTCATGTTGGAAATTAAAAGAAGGAAAAAAAAAGAAAAGCAATATTTAAGAAAAGAGAGCATCAGAAAAGGAGGCAAATAATGTTTGCCTACACCAAAAGCAATGTGATAAATTTCAGTATTTAGGCACATTTTGTTGGTGGTCCCATTCTATTTTAAGTTTATTCACTAGTCATCTGTGTGATTCTGTACAAGTTCTTTCTTGTCAGTTTTTTTCCCAATGAAAAAATAAGCAGCTATATTGTAGAGCTATTATAGGAATGTTTTGAGATAATGCATAGAAAATGCCCAGCAAAAGGCCTAACAAGTAGGATCTGCCAGTCAACGATTGCTCTTATTTTAGTGGCCAGACCTTATAGGATCAGATTTATCCTAAATACTTGTCCTTTTTTTAAAATTCAAATTCTAGTTAATATACAATGCAATCTTAGTTTCAGGTTTATAATATATTGATTCAGCACTTTCATACATCACCTGGTGCTTATCAGGACAAGTGCACTCCTTAATCCCCATCACCTGTTTCGTCCCCCCCACCTCCCGACCACCCACCCCCACTCTGGTAACCTTCAGTGTGTTCTCTAGAGTTAAGACTCTGTTTCTTGGGCATGTGGGTGGCTCAGTCAGTTGGGTGTCTGCCTTTGGCTCAGGTCATGATCTCAGGGTCCTGAGATCAAGTCCCTTGTTGGGCTCCATGCTCAGTGGGGAGCCTGCTTTCCCCTCTCCTGCTCTCCCTGCTTGGGCTCTCTCTATCCCAAATAAATAAATGAAATCTTTAAAGAAAGACTCTGCTTCTTGGGCCACTCTCTCTCATTCACCCCCCCATGCTCATTTGTTTTGTTTCTTAAATTCTACATATAAGTGAGCTCATATGGTATTTGCCTTTCTCTGACTTATTTCACTTAACATCATACTCTCTAGCTCCAACCGTTTCATTGCAAATAGCAAGATTTCGTTCTTTTTTATAGCTGAGTAATACTCCATTGTATATAATACCACCTCTTCTTTATCCATCAACCAATGGACGCTTGGGCTATTCCATAATTTGGCTATTGTAGATGATGCTGCTATAAACATTGGAGTGCATGTATCCCTATGAATTTGTATTTTTGTATTCTTTGAGTAAATCTTAGTGTAATTGCTGGATCATAGGGTAGTTATATTTTTAGCTTTTTGAGGAACCTCCATACTGTTTTCCACAGTAGTGCTCCAGTTGGCATTCCCACCAGCAGTGCAGAAGGAGCCTTCTCTCTCTGCATCCTTGCCAACACCTGCTCTTTCTTGTGTTGTTGATTTTAGCCATTCTGGCTGGTGTGAGGTGATATCTCATTGTAGTTTTCATTTGTCCTTCCTTGGTGATCAGTGATGTTGAGCATCTTTTCTTGTATCCTAAGTCCATTTGATATTAAAGAGATTAAATCCATTCCTGTATATACATTACCAACCCCTACTTCTGATCCTATTTATTTTTGTCTTATCCGTTTATCCTGGTACAAAATCAACAGACACATTCTCTTTGGACAGATTCTCTTTGGAAATCCTACTAAAGCCTGCTTGGATTCTCAAGTGGATGATAGGGGTAGTCTGCAGTTTTTGGAGTACCTCCCTTGTGCCCAGCTTCTCATGGCATCCAGGAAACTTTAAATTGTGGCCCAGGATATATAAATATATGAATAAATACACAAATATATAAATATAAATATATTTTTTTTCAGTTTCCACCATTATCTGTGAGGCACTGCTGTGTGTTAGTACTGTGTCATGCTTTCAGGTTAAATGGGAAGATTGGACCTCATAATATAACCTTACTTCCTTCAATATACTGTAAAAAAAGAGGTTTTTTTGCTTTATTAATGGATCTTCAGAGAGTTGAAGGTTGTGGGCATATAGCAAATGTCAAGCCATATTTCCCTATTGAGCATCTATCTAAATCACAGCTTTGATGATACGGAAATACACATTTTAAAGTATCAAGGGAAAACCTGAAATCAACATAAAACATACTTGGGAACAATGGTGTGACCCAACGTTAAGGTCAAAATGTACAAATATCTTTAAAACGTTTGGTGAGATTTCTGGAATGCCAGGGTCTGACCTGTCTCTCAATCTCTGGTTTGTATCTTATGCTGTCCAGGTCCTGATGCAAGGCAAAAATCCGGGGATAGCTTGGAAGTATGCACTTCCCAAGGTCGCGAATGGAACTCAGCCAGCCTCAAAAAGGCACAGCCACGCCTGGAGTACAGTGCAGTCCGAATGCTCCGTCTCCTGTGGTGGAGGTAGTGGATTTCCCAATTCTACCTTCCAAGTCTCCTCTCAAAACAGGTTCTTTGATCTCAGACCTCTTTAAATTGTAAGATTTAAATCAGCAACAAAAGAACTGTCTTTCATGGAAACCATCCCTATGAAAAGCAAATATTATTATACTCTTTGAGAATATTCCTACAGAGAAGGAACCAAGTCTCCCAAAATCCGAGTCATTCAGAAGCAGGACTCAAAAGTTATATATCTGAATTTTGGGGGAGAAATCTACAAAATACCCCTTTATTTATATTTTTCTTTTCAGCCAACAGTTTAGTTTCTCCCTATACTGACTTTTCTGTCAGTAAGAACCTCCACTGAAGCTTGCAGAAGGTAGGGTCAGAACCAGAGGGAACACAGGCAAGGCAAACATAAGGCCTCTGTCTGAAACACGGGTGTCATATCACTGCATCCCCTCTGGGATGAGGCCAGCAAAATCTGTCTGGGGAGGAAAGTGCGTTAAATCTGAGAAATCCCTCTCCTAAGGGAGGGGAAACAACAACCATCCTCTCAGTGAGTAGAAGGCAACCGTTTTTATTTTGATCCAAAACACTCATATTTTTGTGTGTAAGGCAGTCTTTGCGCTATGCTTTCCCCTTTGAGAAGAAGAATGAAAGTCTCTAAACGGACCCATAAAACTGAAGCCTGAAGGTTTGGTCACTCATTCTCTCATCATCAGAGCATCTGGTGACGGTGGGTCTCCCAACCGTGTCCATCCCCTAAGCACAGTGGGGCATCTTGAACCCGACACAGAGCAGAAATACAGAAAATGAAGAAGTTCTTCAGTCTATGAGGCTACTTCGGGTGTTTGTGCTAATTAATAAAATACAAGGAAATACTTCTTTTTAAATATATTAAATACTTGAAAGGTAATACATTTTTATAGAAATAGATGAAGGGGATTCAGAGCCCTGAGCAATGCATAGCATTGTTGAATCAGTATGTTGTGCACCTGACACTAATACAACGCTGCATGTTATACTTAGAGAAGAAAATGTAAAATGACCAAAAGTAATACATTTTTAGTAATACACGTTTTAAAGGAAACATGCTAGGCAGAAGAAAATAATTTTCCCTAATCCTTTAATCAGCAAAAGCCAATGTTATTACTTTTGTCTGTGTCACTCTATTGTTTTCTTATGCAAGTATAAAAACAGGAGTGTTAGATGTTCTCAGACATACACCACACGGATCATATTCTTTTTTCACTGCATAGAAACCATGCTATCAATACATGTTTATACTCAGCTTTTTTGCACTTGGTCTTGAACGATGAGCAGTTTTTCATGTGTCAAATGCTCTTTGAGATCATTTGCACTAACTTCCTGGTATTTCTGGGAGAGCACATTTCCTTGGGAAGGAGAGAGAGTCCATCCATTTTCCATTTATGGGGAATGAGTCCAAGCGGAGGGAGGATTATGCTGGAGAAGTGCATTGTGGGATTCTCCCCTTGCCTTGATTCAGCAATCCCTCCACGTGACTTACAGACTGTAGTGTGTCCGAGGCATGTGAGAAGGAGAGTCCAAATGAATCAATGCTCTGGAAGTAAACGATTAACGTAAGGGAATCCTAGTGTTCGGTAAATGCCTCCTCCAAGCAGACCTACTTTGACCTAATCATTATTACAGGAGTGACTTTTCATTGTTTCTCAGATTCCATTTTAAGGAAAAATATAAACAAACAAAATTCAGAGAGGAAGCAGCATTCCTATTTGGGGAACTGACAGACAAAATTATTCACACACAAAAAATATGTGCCTCTGATGAGAAGTCCGGGGACAAACATTGCAAGTCAGGCAATAGGTGCCTCTGAAGCAAAACAACAAAACAAGAATAGCTGACAGGTTTGAATACATATTCAAATAGTTCAACTTTTTGTTTCTATCCACTTCTTATGGAAGTAGAAGATGCTTCATGGAAAAAGCAGGATAGTAGAGTTTCCACACATAATTAACCAACAGTTTTTCTTTGAAGAACATTTCCCAATAGATGGATGCAGCGCGAGTTAAAGTTTTTGAGGAGTTCCCCCTTTCCAGCCACCCTGTTTTCAGAAGGTTGTATTTGTCACTTCATGGTTCAAGAATCCGCAGAGGTCTTGAAAACTAAGAAGCTACACATTAAAACTATTAAAATATGAAAACTATGATCTTGGGGGGGGGAATGGGATTCAAATTAGTTGCAGATTTTATCAAAAGGAGGTGTTCTCCACACAGTATTTGGATTCTGTACCTTAAGTAAAACATCAGAGGCCTGCTAAGTCAGAAGCTGCACTTGGAAATGAAGTTGAATCTGGTTATCTGTAATTTTCACTTTGTAACTCTTGATGTCTTATTAGGTTACATAAGCATAAAGGCCATTTGCTTACGAGATCAAAACACTCAAGTCAGTTCCTCGTTCTGCAATGCGAGAACCAAGCCAACAACTGAACCCAAAATATGCAATGCTTTCTCCTGCCCTGCTTAGTAAGTCATCTGGAAATGTCTTTCTGGTTATATTTGTACTTGTATGCTCTTCTTGATGATATGAGAAAATTAAAACCCACTGCCGGTGCTTCTGCTCAAAAGTGACCCAGAGAGGGATCCCTGGGTGGCGCAGCGGTTTGGCGCCTGCCTTTGGCCCAGGGCGTGATCCTGGAGACCCGGGATCGAATCCCACATCGGGCTCCCGGTGCATGGAGCCTGCTTCTCCCTCTGCCTGTGTCTCTGCCTCTCTCTCTCTCATTCTATGTGACTATCATAAATAAATAAAAATTAAAAAAAAAAATTAAAAAAAAAAAAAGTGACCCAGAGAGAGATAGAATGCCCAAAAAAAGCAACAGAGAAAAGAAGACAATTGAGGTGAAAATATATAACTAGAAAAACACAGATTTGCTTTAGACTTTCATTTGATGCCAGCTGTCCAGACCTAACCACAGGATTTAAAGGTGTCTCTCTCTCTCTTTTTAAATCTTATATAGAGCCTCCTCTGAACTAAATCACACAGATATTTAAATAACACAAAATCTTATATTAGTTAAATGTACGTGTGGTTGTGTGCTTAACTTTCATATAGTCATCCAAGAATCTAAAAATCATAATACTATGCAGACCTTCAATGAAACCCCAAATGCAAATTACACAGTAGCAGGACACAAAATAAAAAGAGGTAGAGGCCAAGTGGTAATCCACTTCTGATGATGGCACTCTTTGGGGAACTGGGTGGGTTTGTTTTGGGATAGATTTTAGCCACACTATTGTTTGAACACTAATTTTAAGTAATCTTCCCAGCTGAATGGAGTCTTTTGTGTGATTTATCGTCTGCCAAATGTATTTATATAGAATTGACAGAGTTTCTTCTAAAGCAGTGTTGTGTTCGCTAATGTTTCAGACCATCTTAATGAGCAGTGTTTCCTTTGTGGTGATGCAATTATATTGCACAATACTTTTATACACATACATATATTTTTCCTTATAATAGTACATTTATCATAATTGTTTGGGGCTTCAGTTATTCACCAATCCTGTGTGCCCAGTTGTCCACCTAGTTTTTCTCCAAGAATATGGAACCAGCTGTGTCCTGAACACAGAGTAGACAAAAATTTGGTGAGCTTCCATGGGTTTTCCCGTTTTGCTAAGAATTATCTGGTTCTAAAAAAATATCCAGTGGCTCTAAGATATGGTTACCAGACAGTGTTATTGACACTTTTGGAGTAATGTCTTCCTTAGATACGTGTGTGTGTGTGTGTGTGTGTGTGTGTAGGAACTGTGAGTTTGCTTGAATGGCAAGCTGATACTTTGTGATTTTTAAGCCTCCTTCCTATTGTTGGTTATTTCTGCTAAGCAAAGAACGGGACCCTACTCATATGTCCATCCATGAAAAGAGAGAGGGCCTAGCTTGTACCCAGCTTTTAAAACTTCCATGATGACCATGTGTAGAAATGATGCTCTGCAGTAACCACTTACGATTTTTAAAAGATTTTTATTTATTTATTCATGAGAAACACAGAGAGAGAGGCACAGACAGAGGCAGAGGGAGAAGCAGGCTCCATGCAGGGAGCCTGACGTGGGACTTGATCCCGGGTCCCCAGGATCACACCGTGGGCTGAAGGCGGAGCTAAACTGCTGAGCCACCTGGGCTGCCCACTTACTGGCGATTTAAAAGCAGAACAGGCTCGTATAGTGACTGCAGGGTTGGTGTGGTAAAACAGGCAGGATCCCTTCCTTCCCTTTCTTTCCTTTCTTCTCCATGTATCATTTATATCTTGGTATTTTCTGTTGGAATAATGGGACCTTCAGGGACTGTTGTTCCCCAGATATATATTGGAAATAAGGTCTTAGACTATTCGAGTTACAGGGACAAAGGAGTTCATGTGATCTAACAGTCACCTTCCCATACAACAGCCACGTCGTCATATGCACCTACTTGGTGCCAGCCTTGGGCTGACAGTGGGGGTCTGGAGAACTTGTATTTCCTGCCACCAGTGAGCTTACAATCAAAGGGAAGAGATTGGTGTGTAAGTAAATAATTGAGAGGCAGTGAAAGATGTGCTAGGAAGAGGTCATGTGTAAAAGAGCAAGGAGGAGAAAATGGACAGTGTAGGAGCTGGGCTCGGAGGTGGGGTCAGTAGGAACTGAGGCTAGATGGGGAGTGAGCCTGGAGCCCATGGGTGCAGGACCATGTCTGGCATGCAAAAAGTCTGCCTGTGTTGTGCTCTTTCCCTACTTTCAGGGACTCATCATATTTATCACATGAAGGAAAAACTTGAATTGGGTAGACAGAAATGCCATCTTTATAGGAAAATGTTGAAACTAATAATCTCATAATAATAAGTCTCTTTTCTCTGGTAAGCCAAGGTCAGTTTTAGACAGCACTCCTATGACTGAAATGCAGAAGGTCGCCTCTGGGGGATCTTGTTTATGCTAGGCCTTCCAATCCTAGATTATCAATTAATCAACTGTAGTTGTTGGGAAGGATTAGTAGGTTTCATGGCATCACCTTTCATTCAGATACACTCCAAGCCTCAGATCACCATGAAAAATGTGGTCTGGCAATCTTTCAATAAAGAACACAAGGTTGCGTCTCTAACCCATCCATAAAGTTTAAGAGTAACCAGGATAGTTGGGGGAACTGTCTCCTTAGAAATAATTCCTATAAGACCACAGGTGAATGTGCCCCTGTCTCCTGCAGGCATCCCTCCCCGCTACTCCCCTGCCCCCCTTGGATCACTCTTCCCTCTGTCTCATTACTGTACTTTGTATTAACATCTATTACAGCAATTATCCCATAGTATTGTCCTTATTCACATATCCACCTCATCACTGTGGTGTAGACTCCTTAATGGAAAGAACATTGCCCTGTTCATTTTTCCAACCCTGATGCCTAGGAGAGTCCCTGGCACAAAGCGAAGATCCCAGTAGATTTGGCTGAATGAATGAATTGCTCAGGTTTCCAAATGGCACACGTTTCTTCCCTAGCAGAGAGCAGGAATGTGTTTTTGCCCAGAACTGTGTGGTGATTAAATATGACTCCCTATCACTCCCTTAAATATAAGCCTATCACATTAGCATAAGCTTCAAAGCCCAGAGAAGAATAATTACTAGGATTTGGTTCTTTTTTTTTTTTTTAACTTGGGAATATCATTTATTCTCACTAGACTCAGTGTTCTTGGTTGTAAGTGGAAGGAACAGATATAAATAAGTTACTCTCAATTCTGGCTGCATTTTCCTGGGGCAGGTAAATGTCTGTGCTCATCTCTATTTCCAGACCAATTAAACCAATCTCTGGAGGTTATGGTGTAGCTAGTGATTCTTGAACTTTATTATATGATTCACACAAACATTAAACACAGGTTGCTGGGCTGCATCTCCAGAGTTTCTGATTATGCAGGTCTTGGGTGGGGCCTGCAAATTTGAATTTTACCAGGTTCTCAAGTGATGCTGTGCTAATAGCTTGGGGACCACACTTTGAGGACCACTCGTCTAGCATATGTGTAAGTGTGTGTGTGTGTGTGTGTGTGTGTGTGTGTGTGAGTGTGAATATGTATGTATATATCTTATTGGTTCTAAAATTGACCGAAGGCTTCCATCAGGTGGTTAACGCTTAGGCAGTAACTGCTTTGGAAGGGATGCTCCAAAGCCTCAGCTTCACTGGAAGTAATTTTGTTTTTCACTGCAAGCTGGAAGCCAGGCGAATGGAGTGTGTGCAGCAGGTCGTGTGCGGGGGGCCAGCAGAGCAGAAAGATCCAGTGTGTCCAGAAGAAGCCCTTCCAGAAGGAGGAAGCAGTGTTGCATTCTCTCTGCCCAGTGAGCACACCCACTCAGGTTCAAGCCTGCAACAGCCATGCCTGCCCTCCGGAATGGAGCCTTGGGCCGTGGTCTCAGGTAACTGGGCAAGACTTAGGAGTCATGAGTCTTGTTCCTTCTGGACGAAGGTGGCAAAAATAGGGGTGATGTCTTTGCTCCCCACGAGGCACTCACCCATTTAATGCTTTGCCAGGAATCAAATGGAGTTAATGTGACAAGGCATTTTAATTCACGGGTCTCAGAGGCTTGGTAGAAGGTTGTGTGATAATAGGTGAACGAGCATCATCACATGGAAGGCATTAAATAAACGTTCTCTGCTGCTGTGGTTTGCAGAGTATGATACTATCGTCCTTGTCATCCCTCTTCCTTAAGGACATGAAGAGCCAGGAGTCATGTTGATCCTCTGAAGAGGCTTGGAATCATGCCCAGATGTTCGCAATATTGACAAAGAGCCGAGGCCCAAGGGGCACATTTCATATGGCCCTTCTGTTCAGAAAACAGGGCCAGGGATGGGACATGTCCCTTGAGGGCAGACCCAGACCTGGAGCCAACACCTCCTAAGTGACCCTGACAAGTTTTTAACTATTCATCTGAAAGTGAGGCGATTACTCCCCACTTTCTCTCTCACAGAGTCCTTGGAAAGGACAAGAACGTGCTGGTACAGGAGGGACCGGCCCATTCACGGACATCTGCCGATGCTTACTTATTTCTTCCCCTAGAGTTAGCACAGAGCCCACCCCAGAGGCAGCAGGTAGGTAGGGAGAAGAATTGGACCCCTCAACCCATTTCTATCAACGCCATGATCTGTTGCTGCTACATGTGTACATGTATTTCTGTTCTACTTCCTGTCAGGAGCACGATAATCCTCCTTAGCCAAGTGCCCAGACCAATTTTGCCCTGTGCCAGGGAGCAAGCCACAGTTAGGGCCGGGAGCAGGCCACATACCGTTCTCCCAGTAAAGCACGCGTGCTGCGCAGAGAAAGCCTTGGCCTCGGGCATTCGCTGGTGAAGGTGAATGCCAACCTGCATTTAAGGCCTCTGGAGGGAGGAAAGATTTCTCCTGCTGGCTGCCAGGGATTATATTGGGCATTTGGTTCTAAAGCTTAATGTTAGTTTTGTGAATACCTCATTAATTTGTTCCCAGCATGCAAACGACCATTTCCCCCCATCTCCAGTGTTCCAAGACGTGCGGGCGAGGGGTGAGGAAGCGCGACGTCCTGTGCAAAAGCTCCCCAACAGCAGAGGAGGTCCCGGAGGCCCTGTGCTCCAGCATCCCAAGGCCAGAGTCACAGGAGGGCTGCGTGCTAGGACGATGCCCCAAGAATAACCGGCTGCAGTGGGTTGTCTCCTCCTGGAGTGAGGTAGGAGTGAGAGTCTGTACCGCTGGGTCGTGTCTTGGAATGCTCCGCTCACTCACCAGCACCCAGATGCTCACACCTCCTTCCTGCTCCACACATGGAGCTGGTGCCTACTACTCATCCATTCTTCCTCCTGCCTCTTCATGGGACCCTGCCGAAGCCTCCATCGCACTGAGCGGGCCCATGTGGGCAGTGGAGGTGCAGGTCTCCACCCCGCGACTGGGGCGCCGCGACTGGGGCACGCAGAGTGCTGCTGCACTGGGGGGGTCTGTAATGCCACGGGAGACCTTGGGGTCCCCCAGCCCTGCCGCCAGGAAGAGTCTTTTCCAGGAGAGATGTTCCAGGGAGCGTGAGTCTGAAGGATGAGCAAGAACTGGGCAAGGGGGGGATTGAGGGAATATCCTTCCAGAAGGAAGGTGTGCGCCATACGAGGGGGCGCGGGGAGAGAAGCCAACTGGAGCAGTGGGAAGAGGGCATGGTGCAAGCTGAGGCCTCCTCAGGGCCGGGGTCGGGGCCACTTGGCACTGAGCATGGAGAGCGCAGCCCGGAGGCGGGCAGGGCACTCCGGGGAGGTGGCCGTGGCTGGGAAGAAAGGGGGTGTTTCAGGAGTGGAGATCTTCTTGAGCCCCCGAGGAGGCCATGCCTCATTCTGGCATATGTGGTGGGGGAGGGGGGAAGGGACAGGGCCTGTGAAGATGCCCCTGGGCTTTGTGGTGTGGGAAACCGCAGTGCACGCATAGACGCAGGAGCCCTGAGCAGAGGAGGCCTGGAGGCTGCACCCGGTCCTGATGGCGGGGTGTCCGCTCCGGAGGGGTCCAGGCGGCCAGCAGAGGCAGGGCCTCCAGCCCCACAGCCCCTGGTAGTGGCCGCTGGTGTCCTTTGTTCAGTCTGAACGAGAAGCACCATACCCAGCAGTGCGGGGCCCCGCATCCCATTCCCTTGGGGTTCTAGCCGCAGGGCTAAATGCACCTGCAAATGAGATGCGCCCCTTTTCCCTGCAGCCTTTCCTCCCTCCTGTGCGACCTGGAGCTGCCCACTTGCCCCGCAGCCACGCTTCCTCCCCACGCAGGGAGCTGCCGCGAGCTCAGTGCTCCCCTCTGGGCACCAGGCTCCGCTCGGTTACAGGGCAGTTAGGAGGCCGCAGGGCCTTACCCATTCCCCATCTCACCCCGCGATGCCATTTAAAGTACTTAAGTTCTCGCATACTTCCTCAGCCTCCAGCCTGCCCTTTTTCCTGCTGTCACACAGCTTTGGGTGGTGGCTCCGCCGAGTGAGACGCAGGGTAGGGGACAGGTTGTGACTTGGTGGCTCCTTCCCGCGTGGTCGCCCCCGTGCCCCGCTCGCCCATTGGACGCGCAGCTCCTCAGAGCCAGAGGCCACAGGTGATCGGCCACATGAGGCTGCACGACGCCCTGCGCCCATCCTCCGCCTGCCCGACTGTCCAGGAGCCGTGTCGCGCCCACACGGGCCTCTTGGGGCTGCTGGATGGCTCCCACCAGGGACCTCCGAATTCCCTAGGCTTGGGTTCCTTTGCAGCGGCATGAGGGACACGGCTGCCGCATCGTCAGGATCCTCGAGCACACATGGTTGACCCGCTGCGATCCCATTCCTAGAAGTCCACGTGGACGATGCTCTGCTCAGCACGCCTGACGCGGAGCCTTGCACCCCTAATGCCTCCTCTCTTGGCTCCTAGTGTTCGAGGACCTGTGGCTTGGGCGTGAGGAAGAGGGAGATGAAATGCAGCGAGAAGCCCTTCCAGGGAAAGCTGCTAACTTTCCCCGAGCGAAGGTGCCGCAATATTAAGAAGCCAAACCTCGACTTGGAAGAAACCTGCCAGAGAGGGGCTTGTCCCGCCCATCCTGGGTTCAGCGTGGCGGCTGCGTGGTACTCGTCGCCGTGGCAGCAGGTGAGCGCGTGCAGATTTCGGCTGCGTTCCCCAAAAGGAGGTCCAGCAAAGGCTGCTGTTAGCCCCCCACCCCCACCCCACCCCCGTCCAAATGTAAAGAAGAGAAGCTCTAGATCTGGAGGCCGAACAACCGGAGATCTTGGCCAGCTCCACCCCGTGTGGCCCTGGGCCGGTTTCATAATCCGGAAGCTTCGGCTTCCACAGCTAGAAAATCAAGACGATAATGTCTTGAAGAGCGGATTTTTTTCATGAGCGCCGAAGATAATACAAAGCACTGATACCAGGCAGGTCACATGGTGCTGAAAGGTCACCGTCGCTGCTGTTTTTAAAATCCCCACTAGAGTCTTCTGTATTCTGGAAACCTTGCTCATAATCTTGACTCCTTTGGATCTTGTGGCATGTTTCTGAATTATGTAACAGCGGACATTTGTTGTAACAGCCTGTTCAGGCGTATTTTTGTCCCTGTTTTGTAGAGGAGGCAAGAAAAGCTCGCAGTTGGTCAACTCAGGCAAGGACACCAGCTCTTAAAAATCATCAGATGTTAGAGGGACCCCTTCTCTCAAAAGACTCGGATGAAATTTTGGTTGCGGTAGTTCGGTTCTGATTGGCTGGGATTGGTGTGTGAAGCAGAGTCTGGGAGAGGGGCCGTGTGGTGGTCCTCACACTTCCCAACCAACAGATGTCACAGCTCTTTCAAGGACTCTCCGGCTTGAGAGGTGCCGCCCACCCCAGCATTAAACACAGGGGCTAGGTGGGGGGATGTGTGAGCACAAATGGAGGTCTATAAAGTTGTGTCTATGTAAGTTCACCTTCATCCATACGTGTATATATATAGTGTGTGTGTGTGTGTGTGTGTGTGAGAGAGAGAGAGCCTGTGTGTATTGGGGAAGATCTGAGAACTTACTACAGAGAAAAGGAAAGGAAACCAGTGCGATTGTGTATCTCTAATCAGCTGGACCCCATGCCAGGCACTATTTAGATGGCTGTGGGCTTTTTCAAATTTTTTATCACTATCTTATTTAAGAGATTTGGAAATTGATTATTTTAAGATTATTTAGATCAGATATCAGCACACAATTGCCAACAGGCCAAATCTGCGCCCCCAATATCTGCCTATTTTTTTTTGTAAATAAAGTTTTATTAGAACTCAGCCGTTAAAAAAAAAAAACACAGCCGTGCTCTTTTGTTTACATATCGTCTGTCCCCGGCTGTTTTTGTGCTTCAAAGGCGGGCTTGAATGGTTGCAACAAAGACAACATGGCCCACAAAGCTGACAATATTTACTATCTTGACCTTTATCGAAAAAGTTTGCCAACTCCTGGTTTAGATAATGATGGTCATACGGCTATATGTGAACTTGGCGCTAAATCCACGACTCTCATGCTTTCTGCTCCCACTTATTTTTTCCAAATACCGGTCCATATAATGATGCTTGTTCAAAGTGAACACTTAATCATATCTACAAATAAGAAATCTGAAAATAAGAAAATATGTAGTAAATTTTTTAAAAAGCAAAACAAAAAGTAATCAATGCAAAGGGCTTTTTCCCTGATACTTTATTCCTTAGTTATAAAATATCTTTCTATTATGTGTCTGGAAAAAATAAAGTTTATAGTCCTTGTTAGTCATCTATTTTTTATTTTATTTTAATTGAACGGGGAAACCCTTGACTTCTATCTAGGAAACACCACACCCACTGTGCCAACTCAGAGTTTGGCTGGGCAAAGAGGGCAGGATTCCAACACTGCCTCGGATGAAGTATTATTTATTCGCTGTCCTAATGCTGAACCACCCCCCTATTGGATCCGCAGAGATTATCTGGAATTCTTTAAATACTGTGAGGATTTGTTCTGCATTCTATGGCAGCTTCTGTATTTCTGGAAGCTCTCTCCTTTACGAGCCACTTAACTGGAGACACACTCTCTGGGCTGAGATAGACGCATCTGCCTAAGATCCCCTTCTAACCAGATCACAAGGCTCCCGTGTATTAGACTGTGGCCATGGGCCTGCGTGCCGGGCTCCGGCCAACCCCTGCTTCATCAGCAGGCACCCTGGTCATGTCATGGAGGCTTCTCTGACCCTGCTGACCTCTGAAGGGACACCTTCCAGCTGGGTGTCGCTGACTCCTCCCTCTTCCCCTCTTCTGCAGTGCACGGTGACCTGTGGAGGGGGTGTCCAGACTCGCCTGGTCCGCTGTGCTCAGCAGGGCCGGCCTTCTTCAAGCTGTCTGCTCCGTCAGAAACCTCCAGTGCTACGAGCCTGTAACACAAACTTCTGCCCAGCTCCTGAAAAGCGAGGTAAAGGGCCCCACGCCCGAGTCAACTTTACTAGTCTCACCCATCCTATCTGGTTGTGCAGTTTATTCCTGGCACAACTCTAGGGGGTGCCACTCCCAACGCGGTCGGTGTGAACGGGGCTCCCCACAGGTGTACAAGGCACAAATCCAGGGCAGCTCCTGCTCAGAATGATCTTGTTCACACACATGGGCAGGGAACACTTAGTTCTATGATACGACTCTTTAGCCATTAATTCTTACTTGGAAAGGGGGAAATGGTAATCTTGCAAGTCCCATTTTTTTTTAACACCGTTTTAATTGAATAAGCAAGTGAAAAAGTAACCACCGTGCACCAGAGATTACGCTCACGAGTAGGAACACAGGCAGGAGCGGGAGTCGTCCTCGGGGAGCTTGAGCCATGAGTTAGCCAGGGACCACAGCTTCCGTGTGTGCGTGGCTACCGTCCTTCCAACGAAGCGCAGTGCGTGCTGCTGAGAAAATGGGCAACTGAATCATCTGCGTGAACTGTACTGCTTTCCACTCGCCCAACTTTCTTTAAAGTCACCTGACAAACACACCAGGAAAGGGCTCTTTCCCCTAATCCGATTTCCTTGTGCTAAAGAAATTACGTTCCACCATGTACCTGCTGAATTTCCTTTCTTCCAATGACAGCTTTTCCAAGACTAAATTTCTTAGCCCGTGCTTCCCAATTGGTGGTGAATCAGATTCAGGACTGTCACTCTCCCTTGTCCTCTCACTTCACATTTCTAAATCATTATCCTTGTTTATCGACATCTTAGAGCCTTGGTTCCAGGCCCAGGGCATCAGTTTGTCCCCCCTCTGCCCTCTCTCCTTCCCTGAGGCTTGCATGAGACCAGAAAACTAGTAATGTAGCAGCATCTCAGAGCCACGTCACGTCCAAGGTGATACTAGAATTCTACAAACCTGCAGCCTTTCTCAGCACAAAGTTTATGGGGGAAGAAACCCACATTCTGAGCAAGTGGTCATGAACTTGTAAATTCTTTCTTTCCTATTGGTGACTTCCCTTTCCCCTTGTTAGTCAGATGACCCCGGACAAACCCACACATGCCAAGAATCAGTGGATACCCCCTAGGTACTTTGAGACAGGCTAACGGACAGTGGCCAATCATGAAAGCTGCTGGGCGGGAGTACGTGGTGGGGGGAGAGCCAAGACACGTGTTAGATCCAAGACGGGGAGGGAGGCCATTGGTGTTATTTTGTTCATCCAGCACCACGCCTGTCACAGCGTAGGTGCTCAACATGTGTGAAATGCAAGATTGTGTGTAAAGTACTGTGAGGTTCCTTATTTCATTCAAAGCCAGGTCACAGAGCACCTGCCACATATCCCTACCATTCTTCTAGGGATAAAAGAACAAGGCAACATCTTGTTCTTTTTTTTTTAAAGATTTTGTTTATTCATGAGGGACACACAGAGACAAAGGCGGAGAAGCAGGCTCCATGCAGGGAGCTTGACACGGGACATGATCCCAGTCCCAAAGGCAGATGCTCGTCGCCGTGGCAGCAGGTGAGCACGTGCAGATGCTCAACCTCTCAGCCACCCAGGTGCCTGGCAACATCCTTCTAGATACACACATAGCTCACCTTCCTTTAGGGTCACCTTTAGGTCACCTAAAGGAACACAAGCTATGTGCCTATCTAGTAGGAGAGTGTTCCTGCCAGTTGGAACAGCACATGCAAAGGCCCTGAGGTGGGAATGTGTGAATATGATCAAGGAACAGCCAGACACCTGGAGGAGGATGTATAAAGTAGGCAGGCGTTAGGTGATTAGCTGAAGTTGGTCCTGGAGGCCTGGTCAGCCATTGCAAGGACTTCAGATTTAACTCTGAGGTGTTGATACAACAGTGCAGTTAGGACCATTGTTTTAATGGTCTGCTTTTATCCTGATGCAGTATTTCCACTGCCTCAATAGGATAATCTCTATGATTTAAATAGAAACTGACTCAGATGTACATTCTGGTGGACTAGGCTATGTGCTAGTTGATTGGGATAGAAGATACTGTACAGTATATATTAAAAATAATTGAATACAGATCCCACACCCTTCTCCTGGGGCCCCACCCCTAATCCCTGTGATGGTCCAGGTCAGTATGCCCTCTTCTAGATGCTCAGAACAAAAAGCCTATTGTCCTCCTTTTTTCTCTCATATCTTTACCAGCGTGTCAGAAAATTCTCTAGACTCCATATCCAGGACTTACTGAAAAGAAGAAAAATTCTCTTCCTTCACCATTATACCCAAGTTGAGACTTTGTGGGTTTCACATTGGTTGTTTCAGCCATGATAGTTAGAGGGAAGCTATTTTTTTTTAACGAACATTTTCTTGAGCAGCTACTCTGTGACAGGCACTAAGCATTGGGAATAAAGTAATGAAAACAGTCGGCGAACTCTGCTCTCGAGGATTTTACATTCTAGAAAGGAGCCAGACAATAAGGCAACACATAATAGGATGAGGGCTGATAGACCCAGGGTAGAAAAATAAAGCAAGGTAGGGAGGCGGGAGTGCTTTCTGGGAGGCCAGGGAGCACATTGCTTGTATGGGGGAGTCTGGGAAGGCCTTACTGTCAGTGGCCTTTGAGTAGAAACTAAAGGGAAAAGAAAGAATCTGGATGCCTGGATCAGTATGCCTGGCACGTTATGGCATCAGGCAGGTGGCCCATGTCGGGGAGGGCATCAGGCAGGTGGCCCATGTCGGGGAGGGGATGAGAGGAAGAAGATGAATCAAGCAGTAGTGGGGGAACCAGATCCTTGGGCCACGTCACCCATTGTAAGGACTAAACCTTTCATTCTAGGTGGATGGAGGGGCCAAAGGAAGAGTTTGGGGCTGAGACATGACATGAACTGTCTTATCTTGAGAGGATCAGCAGGACTACTATGAGATGGGAGAGGTGTATTTTAGCAGAAAGACAAAGGCATGGGGAAAGAACTACAGGCAGTTCTGAATCAGAGCAGGAGACAGATCGGGAGCAGCAGGAAAAGACACAGGAGAGCCGAGAGCCTTGCAGCCATGTCCAAGGGCACAGAGCAGAGCTACTTAAGGATATTTTTTTTTCATGCAAAAGGATTTTATGTAACTTGAAATGTTTGCCTACTTATGACATAATTTTCTTATCTTCATTACCAACATGTTTTTAGCACATCTTTTGTTATATGTAATTTTGCCTATTTCCTATTTTGATGATTTAATGTGACTTTTATCATGATTGATTTTATTGCTCTTGTTTCCATTTTTCCCATTTAAAATTTTTTATTTTTTGTATTTTTTTATTGGAGTTCGATTTGCCAACATATAGTATGTTGAGAGGGGCACTTGAAGGATAATTTTGGAAGGGATGTAGGTAGGTGCCTGTGAATAATAGGGGGCGTTGGGCAAGGTGAAGGTAAAGTGACTTCTAAGCCTTGCGTAGATGAAGGGGAAAACCCTTCCAACCGTGAATGAGGACATTTATTTATGTACAAGGTAGGCCACAAGCACTCTTTTTTTTCCTTAAGCACTTCTGAAGTGAAAATTCTTTGAGAATCCAGTAAAACAGCTAAGACCCAATGAGCACGGAGGTTTATATAAAGAAAATCTTACATACAGCCTCACACGCATTCTGTACCTAGGGAGGGCCTTCTGGGTGAAAATCCCTGATGTACAATGTCCTGCTTCCACGGTCCATAATCACATCTGTTAATAAAAGAAGTTAGGACTGGTGTTGACTTAAATTCACTTAGTTGCAGACTGGCTATGAGATGTAAATCGATGTGGAGTCCTGCAGCTGGGCCTCAAACCCAGGTGTGATGACTCCTGATACATTAGGCCTCTTGTTCCCCAAAGTAAGGTCTGTGGACCAAGTAGCAGCAGCATGCCCTGGGTGCTTATTAGATATAGGGCCCCTTAGCTCTCACCCCACACCCTCTGAATCAGAAGCAGTGGCTTAACAACATCCCCAGGGGATTCCTCACGTGCTGTGCTAGGGATGCAGAATGGTAGCTCCAGGCTACTGGGGTCAGACATGAATCTCTGGCTGGATAGAACATTTTTAACATGCACTTTCCCCCTCCTGTCAACATTTAGTCCCTTCTGATATCTTAATTCTGCTTCCCCCACCCTCCCAGCGAAGTCCTAGTGTATAATGAGCAGAACCACTCAGAGGCATGAGGCTGGCAGATCCAAGGTCTTTGACCTGTAGGCTCTCACCTTAAGAAAAAGGCTAAGATTTCTCCTAAGGGGTTAAATACTTTTTCTCATTGCAGAGGATCCATCCTGTGTGGATTTCTTCAGCTGGTGTCACCTAGTTCCTCAGCACGGCGTCTGCAACCACAAATTTTACGGTCAACAGTGCTGCAAGTCATGCACGAGGAAGAGCTGATCTCCATGCCCTCCCTGACACCTGAGGGCCAAGATCTTACCTCTCGCCTCTGGAGAGACCGGCCACGTTTCACCTCGAAGGCTGGTCACTGCAGGCCACCTGTTTGCTGCTGCAGCATCTGTGGAGCTGACTCTCAAGAACAGACAGGCTCCCCATTCACTTCCCCAAAGCACATGGTACTCCGAAGCACTTGAACGTGGGAAGCGAGGACAAATCTGACTTGCAAAAGAAAGGACAAAGGAACTTTGATTTGCACTGTTACACGAAAGAAGTGATGGATCACACTGAGCTACGTCACATTTTAATTCTGACAAAGTGAGAATCTGGTCAATGCTGGGAGAGGTTGCTCCCTTTGAACTTCAGAGGGTTCCACAGCAAGACCTCCGTTTTGCAAAGGTCCTTGAAGACTTCAGGTCAAAGACTGAGGCTTGGAGCAATCAAGTCTGGATGGAACACATTGCCTGTTACCTGGAGCTCACAGTTTGATTGGCACTGTGGACAGCCCAAGCTCGGAGTCACACAGGAAGCCAAATGGTGCTCATAACTGTGCTTGCTGCTGGACTAGCAAGCTTCATGTTACGTTTATCTCGTGTGCGTGTGTTGTTTTTATAATTTTGTTTAGAGGATATTCTGCTTAGAGAGTCTCCAAGACTAAAATTTACAACTTGAAAAGTATTCCAAGGAATATTCTGAAAACAGGGCAACATGGACTATTTAAGATCTCCATTTAATTGAAGTTCACACTCCAAAAAAAAAGCCCACAAACTCACATAAAAGGCAAATGTTGATGTCCTATGCAGTATATCAACCTCATAACTTTTGGTGCTAGTGGAACAAGTACACGGAAGCCTCTAGTCTGCTCTTTGGGAATCAGAACTGGAGAGATTTTCATTTCTGATAAAAATCTAGGAGGAGCTAAAGAGCAAAACAGCAGTGTTTTGAAGGAGAGTAGACCATCATTTATAAGGCTCCCTACATAATATCAGAGCTGCTTGGAAAATTAAAGACCACTTGTGGTTTTTTTTCTACCAACTGTCATGTTTAAATTTTCCCTAAGATTTAGTTAACAAGAAAAAAGAGTGGCAATAGAAAACCCCATCTGTCTTCTTGCTATGTTAACATTAATAAATCATAATAAGCCAAGATCCTTCAGTGAATAAGAATATTTTATAATCTTTCAGATGATGTTTTTAGTCACCAGAAGCCAGCTGTTGATAGGCACTAATGAGCTTAAAATTGTTCTCAATTGGAAAATACCACACTATTTTGCCAAAACCAAAGTAACTTACAAGGCTGAGTCCTTCTGTAAGTTTTTGAGATGTGGTTAAAAAGGGCATATTTATATAATTCTACTCTATTCCTCAATTTCTTTGATGAATGTAACCCAGTTTTACTGCTTTATAAAGTCTCAATTCAAACAGGGATTTGCCAGCTCAGCACAACCAACTAGACAGTGGTTTGTTAAATTTAGAGCATCCTTTGTTCCCGTTCTAATTAAAATCATGCGTTCTTGAATCTCAGAGAAAAAAAAATGATTAGCATAGTCTCTCAATCCACTTGGCTTGGCCTAGGGTTCTGGCCATTTTATCATCAGAAACACACAGTTCCATAACACCACCCTTGCCCTCTGAAAAATTGCAAGTTATTTGTTTCTTTATATAATGATCATTTTATTATTTTATGGAAAAATTAATTTATTAATAGCCTATTCTTATGTGTTCTCACTTGCTTCTCTGAGTAAGTGGTATTAATTCTGAGGAAAACTGTTGAATAAAACAATGGGTTATAGAGAAAAGTCGAAATATATGTGTAATATTTAATTATTTTATAAGTTTTATAATAAAGTGTTCTGTTTCCTTACCTTTGAAATTTGTTAAGTTCTTGAATAAATGAGAAGTCAGTTACTTCCAAGATCATTTAACTGTATAAATACTGATTGGGAAACTCAGTAATTGCTCAATGAGAAATCGGGAAGATAAAGCACTCATTGGTTTTTCTTGCTTGTGTCTAAGAAAATTAGAAACCACCAAAAGTTGGGGTGAAATGGAAGACATATTTAGCATCTTACGGAGATACAGAGTATTTTTGCCTGCTGTAATGCTTTGTCAACATTTATGGAAATGATCCAGGTTAGATAAATCTACCCTAAGTGTAGTTGGTTTTCTCCTTTATTTTTTTCCATTTGAACAGCATTCTGGTGAAATCCTCTTGCAAAAAATAGAAAAGGAGGAAGGAAAAACAAATTAAAAAGCAATTATTTCAGGTTTTCCAAATTTGTAATCATCAGACCAATGGAGAATAAAAAGTTTGGGCAAAGTCAGTCCAGTTGACCTGAGTATATAATATTCTTCTCTATGTGATATCTATCTATCTATCTAATATATGAATATGTCATACATATGTGAATGTATGTGTGTATATGTTATCATTTATGCATGCAAATCTTTAAAATATATTTAAGATTTTTATATGAATTATTGCTATTTGGCAAACAAAACTGGTTAAGAATGAAAAACAATAGATGGCACATAAAATAGAAAAGAGAAGATATCCTTGTGACTTTTGGTGATAAAATATTAATGAAAGCAACCACATATTTATTGTTTAATGGGTGCCAGGGAGTGTGCCAAGCTCTTTGTATATGTTACCTCTTTTAATCCTCACAAGACTCTAGTTAGAAAGATACTACTTTTTTCCCTTTGTAGATGAGGACTCTGGGATCCAGAGATATCACATATTTCATCCAAGGTAGCCATAAAAGTGAGCTCCATAAATAATATAAACATTTCAGTTGTTCATTTTAGTTAAAATAGTCACTAATTGGTTTACAAAATTCCTATCTATAAAAAAATTTCCTCAGTGAGAATAGGGGAGCTGTTCAGAGCTCCTCAGGAATATTCAGTTTCACATCACTAAGCTTAAGATAAAGAAGGAATTTTCTGTAAGATGATTTTTATCTTTAATCCTAAGTTACATTTGTGCATAGAAAGGAAAATGGGATCTATTTAAATGTACCTTTCTGGATAGACATTGAGAATAATGATGTAAGTGACTTTGGTTCCAATTGCTCTGTATAGAGAAGCCAGCAGGAGCCATATCCAGAACGTATCCTCCTTTGCTTCTGCAAATTCATGCCTAATTGCCTTACCCCTGCACACCACCACCATCCTATTTGAATGTTATGAAGACATACGTGCTGGGTACAGTTGTTTTCCTAAGCTATTTTTAGTGAGGGACATAGTTGAGTTCATAATCAGGTCATTTAATAACAAGCAATTTATATAATTGTTAATTATTTTAATGAACGAAGAGGTTCAGAGATTGTTCCTAGCATCCTAACTTGGATGAGAAAGAGGCACTAACGGCTAGGAAAATGAAACCCTTAGGCCATGTCTCCCCAATACTCCTGTTTATTCCCACCCCCTCTTCCCCTCTTCCCTGCATCGCCTTGGCCTCCCCATTCAGGCTGCCTCTGCCCCATAGAGGTTAGGCCATCACCTGACGCTACCTAGTGCTGCACCCTATGCCCATCCCACACGTTAGAAAAGACAGGATGAACACTTGGTACTCCTCAGCCTTCCAGCTTACAGCTAATGGACTTTCTAAACCAAGTGTGCAGTACAGAGGGGCACTTTCACTGTATAAAGTTAACAGAGCCCTTGAGAGATGGTCTTTGAAGGTGAACCAGGGCCAGCGGCTCTTCCTGCTGGAGGCGAGGCCCAGACACGTCTCTCCCACTGACTCCCTCTCCTTTCTTTCCTTTTATGTGGCTGGAGCACAGGAAGGACCAGCAGCCTCCACCCCCCCCTTGTCAGAAGGCCAAGCCAGCTCTACTGTTCCTTAGCGTGCTCCTCTGTTTCGGCAGCCCCATGTCATGTACCATGAGGCTGAATATCTCCCCTTCCTTGGAATGAAGGTTCTTTCTCCCCTGCCCCATCCTTTTTGAGAGCCAGGTTGGATCTAGAGTAAGTCTCAGGACAACAGTTTCTAAATAATTAGCTGCATTAACTATCACTTAGGGATATTTTATACATTCCTGGGCCCCATTCCAGAAACATAATTAATTAATTCTGGGAGTAGGGCCTGGGAATTTATATTTTAAAAGGCATGCAAGTTTCTCTGAGGAAAAACTCATTTTGGAATCACTTGTCTAGGATAGATAAAGGAAAGCACCTCGAGTCGGTCTTCCTTGTGTAGGCAAAGGAGTTCCCTTGACACCATGCCCTCTGCTGCAGCTCCGCAGGGGTCTGAGCTAAACCTGGCCAGTAATGAAGGGGGCTTTGCCATCCTGTTGTCATCCTCTGTGTGGATTTCACTGGGAGACCCTCAGGGCTGTAAATAGTGGGTCAAGGAAAAGACTCACAGGCAAGGACCAGTTCCCCGGCCATCTTTGTCTCAATTTCTTATTTCCAACCATGTCGGTAGTTGACAGCAGGGTTGGATGGGCAGGCAGTAGAAGAGCCAGATGGAGGGAAGTTGGCCATTTCTCTCAGGCAAGCACCCGCATGCAAGAACTAGTACACTGTATTGTTTTTTGTTTCTTTGTTTTGTTCTGTTTTGTTTTTTAAGGACACACACTAGAGAAGCCAATGAAATCCCCATTGGAAAGTGGCTTTTGGCAAATTACTCCAGGTCCTTGTGTGTGCGTGGAGACACCCCAGTGCTTGAAAGAAACAGTTGTGTTCCTGAGATCCAGAGTCAAGGCAGAATGAAGGCTTCCATCCTATTTCCTGCCAGGACCCTGGGTGCCAAGAGGTGAATTAATCACTCGTATGAATCAGGCCAACTGTCACTTGCTTACAAATTGCCAGAAATGCATTGGCTGACTCGAGTCAATGAGAATTGTAACTTCAGCTTTTGTATGACAGAAGAAAAAGAAACAAAGCCTTTGAAAAGATAGGGAAGAGCAGCTAGAATGATGTTTTTGGCCGCACTAAAGTATAAACAAGGTAATGTCATGTTCCCTACAATTGCGCTGTCCTGGGACTCTGATTTTTCTCATTCAGTGGCTCATTTCCTTAATTTACAGGTTGTTTTTTTTTAATATATTGGCCCCACATACTTAACATGAACATGTCTGTCTATTTATGTATCTGCATCGTCCTAAACCAATAAAGGCATAATTGTTATTGTACTCAGCAATTTTCTCCCCTTTGTGAGGATGCCCACATTGTCTAGGGCCTTTATTACTTGCAGATAGGTCTGCCAAGGGAGCAAACAATTCACATTTTCTTAGAGGTTAGCATTTACTTTCATGCTAAAAGTCTCTCTGACAGAGTAACGCTCACCCTTTTTTGAGCTCTGCTACACTAACTTTTTTTTTGCATTCTTGCTAACCAAAAATACATTCGTTCTTTGCAGCCAGCATTTATTGAGCACCAACTGCACTGTGAAGTCCAAACACAGAAACAGATCTTGTTCCTGATCCAAGGGGATTGGTATTTGAAAATATGGGATGCACATCCAGTCAAGTAATGGACCAAGGTCATATAGTCCTGAGGTTTTCTTTTAATTCCTCACTGTCACATTCACCCTAGTATATATTTGATCATGTGTTTTTTAGGCTTGTATTACTGTCACATAGGATATGATGAGATCACATATATGCAAATCACGATCATGCAGACTGCAGACATCTTTTCCCCTTCAAAATTAGTAAAGTCACAAAATTACAGCATTAAGCAGAGTGGGAAAGGGAAGTCATCAATAGGAAAGAAAGAATTTACAAGTTCATGACCACTTGCCCACTTGCAAGTCATTGTATAGAAATTAAGAAATCGAAGAGGATTTTGTTATTTCGCTCTCTCTCCATCACAGATGTAGACAGAGAAATATTTGAAGGCAGTTCCTAAAATTACATAATGAGTCACTGGTAAGTCTAGATATAAGGCCAGTTGTAACAATTTTCATGCAAGTATATTTTCACTGTATTATAAAATATTTACTGATTTTTCTTACTTGACAGGCAAACACTTTTATTACATTTAAGGACAATCTTAATGAGTAGTAAGTTTCAAATAGAAACCTAGTATCATTGCTGATTTCCTGTGCCATCTATGCTACTACCTTAAAATTCCCTGCCCTCAAAAGAAATACATACTCTGGTACCATAAGAAGCATAACAAATGTTGTCATATTTCCTCTATGTAGGGCAAAGGTGATCTCATGAAAGTACCAATTTTTTAAAACATCTGACCCCTTCCCTTTCCAATTGTCTGGTATCCCAAGGAACCGAGCTATTGCTTTGCTTTGAGCCTGGAATTAAGAGCGATATCGGGCAGCCCAGGTGGCCCAGCGGTTTAGCGCCACCTTTGGTCCAGGGCATGATCCTGGAGACCCAGGATCAAGTCCCACTTCGGGCTCCTGGCATGGAGCCTGCCCACCCCCCATGTCTTCATAAATAAATAAATACTTTTTTAAAAAAAGCGAAATCGAAGGTCACAAACTCTATAGATACACTAAAAACTACTGGACACTTAACATGGGAAGATTTTATGGCATGTAATTTACATCTCAATAAAGCTGTTTAAATTAAAAAGTATGCAATGTGGGCTCAAGACAGTGAACTAGGAAGATCCTGAGCTCATCTCTTACAGACACACCAAAACTATACACATAGAACAACTGTCTCTGAGAACAAACTGAAGACCAGCCGAACAGATCATAGATATAAAGACAGGCAGGGAGGGCAGAGACCCGCTCTAGTCAGGGCACACGCTTCTGGCACAGCAACCCACAAGCAGGAGGGATATTCCAACTGCAGAGCCCCTCCGTAAGGAACAAGGAATCTGAGCCCCACATCTGGCTCCCAAGCCCAGGGAACCTGCAAAGGGAAGTTGAGCCACCATTATGTCTGCTTTGAAAACCAGCAGGGCTCACGTCAGGGAGAGCCGGAGGGCACACTGCTCTCCAAGAGCATCTCCACCATCTTACTCCTGCCTAGTTCAAGTGCAGAGGCATCAGTTTGAAAAGCACCTGGGTTACACATGAAGGAGAACAACTGCCTAATTGGAGGGCATGTGCCAGAGGGATCCATTGGAATGCTCGCCAGGGGTAGAATCGATTGTGGGCACTAGTTTTTGTTCATTACCCTTCTACTAGCTGGGCCCATTTCTTACACCTCCCTGATACATCTGTATGTGTATGATGCCATACACAGCAGGCAACCTCACCTAGCCCCAAGCCCCTCCCAAACAGAGCCCCTGCACTGTCACACATAGTGAGCAGCCTGAGCAAGCACTGATGTTCCACCACCATGCAGCCTCCACCCCAGGAGCCAACCTTGTTCAGTCAAGTCCAGGCCTCATAGATAGCCACACTGTCTCCCACACACCAGGGAGTCTGCATCAATCATGGGCCAACCACCACAGGAGGATACATGAACACACACAGGGGACAACTGGCTCAAGTGACAAGGGAGACTGTGCTACTGGGCCCCACAGGACACCTTCTAGATAAAGCCACTCCTTCAAGACTGGGAGACATAACTGATCTACCCAATACATAGAGAAAACACAGACTAGACAAAATGAGGAGACAGAGGAGTATGTTCCAAATGAAAGAACAAGACAGAACCTCAGAAAAAGAACTACATGAAATGGAGATAAGCAATCTACCAAATAAAGAGTTCAAAGTCATGGTCATAAAGATGCTCACTGAATTTAAGAATAGATGAACACAGCAAGAACTTCAACACAGAGGTGGAAAATGTATAAAACAACCAATCAGAGCTGCAGAATACTGTAACTGACATGAAAAATACATAGAATGAACAGCAAATTAGATGATGAAGAAGAATGGATTGGTGACCCTGAGGACAAGGTACTGTATATCAGCCAATCAGAAGAGCAAAATGAAAGAGAATTTTTAAAAAGCTTTTATTTATTTATTCATGAGAGACACAGAGAGAGAGGCAGAGACACAGGCAGAGAGAGAAGTAGGTTCCCCACAGGGAGCATGATGTGGGACTTGATCCCAGGACCCAGGATCATGACCTGAGCCAAAGGCAGATGCTCAACCACTGAGCCACCCAGGTGCTCCAAGAAAGAGAAATTTTTATGGGGGTATAGTTTAAGGAGCTCTGGACAACATCAAGCAAGCGAATATTCGCATTATTGGGGTTCCAGAATGAGCAGAGAGAAAGGGACAGAAAACTTATTTGAAGAAATAATGGCTGAAAATTTCCTTAACCTGGCAAGGGAAACAGACATCCAAGACCAGGAACCAGAGAGTCTCCAAATAAGAGGACTCAAAGAGACTCACAATGAGACACATTATAACCAAAGTGTCAACAGTTAAAGATAGAGAATCTTAAAAGCAGCAAGAGGAAAACACTAGATCCATACAAGGGAACCCTTATAAGACTATTAGCTGGTTGTTCAACAGAAAATTTACAAGCCAGAGGGGAGAACCACAATATATTCTGAGTGCTGAAAGGGAGAAAAAAAAACTTACAACCAATAATATTCTACCAGCAAGGTCATCACTCAGAATTGAAGAGATAAGGAATTTCCCAGACAAGCAAATGTTAAAGGAGTTCATCACCACCAAACTGGCCTAACAAGAAATGTTAAAGGAACTTCTTTAAACTGAAAAGAAATGGCAATAACTAGAAATAATTAAGAAAGAAAAAAATCTCACTTATGGTAAGGTAAGCATATGATAAATGCAGTGGATCAACTACCTATATAGCTAGTATGAAGGCTAAAAGACTAAAGTAGTAAAATCATTTAGACCTACAATAGTCAAATAATACACAAAATAAGAAGATGTAAAATATAAAGACAAAAACACAAAATATAGGGAGTGTGCAAAAATGTATTGCTTTGAGAGTGCATTTGAACTTTAGCAACCATCAACTTAAAACAGGATATTATATATGTAGGAGTTTATATATGAACCTCAAGGTAACCAGAAACCAAATACCTAAAATAGGCATTCAAAAAATAGAGGGAAAGGAGTAAAAACACTAAGGAAGATGACCAAATCACAATGGAAGAGAGCAAGAGAAGAAAGAGGCAGAGAAGAACTACCAAAACAAAAATCAATGAAATGGCAATAAATACACATTTGTCAATAATTATTTTCAATTTAAATGGACCCAATGCTCAAACCAAAAGATGTAGGGTGGTTGAATGGATAACACTCATGTGCTGCCTACAAGAAACTAATTTTGGATCCAAAGACACATACAGACAAAGTGAAGAAATGGAAAAAGATATTCTACGCAAATGGAAATGAAAACTGGGGTAGCAATACTTTTATTAGATGAAACAGACTTTAAAACTAAACCTATAACAAGAAACAAGGGAATTATGTCATGATAAAGGAATCAATCCAATAAGAGGATATAACACTTGTAAATATTGATACATCCAACATGGAGCACTCAAATACATAAAGCAAAAATTAACATAAATGAAGGGAGAGATTGACCATATATTATTAGTAGGGGACTTTAACACACAACTTATCAGTGGATAAGAAAAATCAATAAGGTCTTGGCCTAAAATGACATATTAGACCAGATGGACTTAATAGATATATACAGAGCACTCTGTCAAAAACAGCAGGATATACATTGTTTTTCAAGTACACATGGAACATTCTCCAGGATAGATCATATGTTAAGCCACAAAACAAGTCTCAATAAATTTAAGAAGATTAAAATCATACCAAGCATCTTTTCCAACCACAATGATATAAAACTACAAATCAATTATAAGAAAACCGGAAAAAAAACACAAACACATGGAAACTAAACAACATGCTACTAAACAACAAATGGGTAGAAAAGAATCAAATAGGAAATCAAAAAATACCTCCAGATAAATAAAAAAGGAAACACAACAGTCCATAACCTATGAGCTGCAGCAAAAGCAGTTCTAAGAGGGAAATATGTAGTGATACAGGTCTACCTCAGGAACAAGAAAAATTTCAAACACTCTAACCTAAAGGAAATAGAAAAAGAAGAACAAATAAAACCCCAAGTTAGGGGACCCCTGGGTGGCGCAGCAGTTTAGCACCTGCCTTTGGCCCAGGACCTGATCCTGGAGACCCGGGATCGAGTCCCATGTCGGGCTCCCGGTG